CACGTGTCAGAAGTGTGTATATACCTGCACATTTATGTGTATGTGTGCATGTGTCATAAGTGTGTATATAGCTGCTCATGCACACGTGCACACACACACAGTGTTGGCATAATGATGCCATGGGAAACTCCTACTGCTACTGTCATCCTAGATTATTTCCTTTAGTCACTTACAGAATAGAAACCCCAGACTTTCCTTTACCATGGAGATAAACTAAAAACTAAACATTGGTTTTCAACATGGGTTTTTATCCTGTCAAGAAACGCATGTCCAAGGGAAAGAGATAGTTGACATATGAAGCCGAGTTCTGGGTCGTATCTTCACTCCCAGTGGTCTAAGAAATGTGAGAGCTCCAATCTATGGCATCTCAGAAAAAAGGCCTATTATTAACCACAACTTGGCCTTTCAGATGGTGGTTTGGTCACAGGAATTGCAAACATCTGTTCTGAAGCACTTTCTTAATGGCAAATTTCATTAGGTACATAAAAAGGCGAGAGAAGGGGTAAATTCTGGTAACAACTGGGAAACACAACCTACTTTGCTCAACTTTAAAAAAAAAAAAATCTCTGGCAATCATGTGTCTTTGATATTTAAAAAGCTACCCAATTTATTCATTTTGTACAACCAAAGTATAAAACTGATGCTCAGATAATCTAAATTTCAAGGAAATATTATTACTTAGCTGGAATTATTTTTAAAGACTCTTACTCTAACATCACTGGTATTTGCCTGCAAACACCAAGATGATAATCTTTAAATATAAATATGTTGGAAAATAGAACATTTAAAGGAAAATGTTTGTTTTAGTCATTCTTTTATTATAACTTCTAGTGTTGCACATACAGAAATAATTAACTCCTGCTAAAACAAACCAAAACAAAATAAAACATGTTGCCGCTGAGTCAATCCCGACTCACAGTGACCATACAGAACAGAGCAGAACTGCCTCATAGGGTTTTCAAGGAGCGGCTGGTGGATTCGAACTGCCAACCTTTTGGTTAGCAGCCTGAACTCTTAACCACTGCGCCAAATTAACTCCTGCTAGTAACAATAGTTTCCTCATTTAAAAAAATAATTATTGAGGTAAAGTGACTAATCAAGGTAAAGAGATTATGTAACAGAATGCTCACTTCTTAATTTGTGCTGAACATTTAAATCTGGGAAAGAAAAAAATGGAAAAAGAAATGACTAGATTTTTTAATGTCTGAATGCCATCAGAACCTTTTCATTATTATTATTATTCAGCATGTGAAATTGTGTCTTAGCACTTCTGAGCATTTCACTGAAATATCTAAATCAGGCTTTGGTGAGCCCAAAAACTGTCTTGACACTCTTCCAACAAAACACAATTTAAATTTAAAACTTTTGTCAATTAAGAAAAATAAGACAAAACTGGATGTAGTCAATACCAAGTGAAAATAGTCTTTGTTTTCATTTTTAAAATTCCAGAATCCAGCACAGCATGAAAATGAATGCAGTGTTCTCATTTTTTCAAATTGGGGGAAAAAAAAAAATCCATACCCCAAAGTTCCTGTTTACATATGCTTTTTCAGTACATAAGTTTTTAACCACATTTGGTAATTTTTTTTTTAATATTCTCCTACTGTATACTCCACTTCAGTGTGTCACCTCCTGAAAGGGGCTTCCTAGTCCACTGTATCCATCCCACAGGATTCAAGGCGGCCAGCTCTGGTGCCGCGGCTCTTTCCATCTGAATTTACTGTTTCTCCCCACTTTGCATCATCACATCAGACAGCCGCGTAACTTAACAGCTCGAAGGAAACCTCTGAGACCTTTTAATTCAACATCTTCATTCAGATGCAATCACTGAGAAATCCAAATTCTCCCTCAGATGATAAAACCAACCTAGATATATAGGCTTGATGGCAGACCTTTAAAGCTGGGTTTAAGGAACAATCCTTACCTGGCAGTATGCTTAAATCCTAAGAATGCTGACATGGATCAAGATGAGTTGAGCAATAATAATATATCTTACCAAACCAGAATTTCTGAACCAATCAATTACTGACGGCTTCTAACTCTCAACAAAATGCAGTATGTCACAAAAACTCTGACAGACTTACAAAAACTCACTGCTTTCCATCTCCACCCTGCTTTAAGGAAATCTTGAGTACAAACAAAATTTAAAACAAACTGCATATATCCACATGTAGAACACTATTTCAAACTCTTTTTGGATTCTAGGCTGTACCACAATCAAGGTCACTTCCTTGCAGGAAGTCTGCCTCCAGCAGTGAGTCCGTCTCAATGTCTGAGGAGAACAGGCTGAGTCTACTTACTGACCAGAGATGACTCACCTCCCGGTCCTGACATCACCGAGCGCAGTAAAGTGGCATCCCATAGCCTGCAATATTCTAAACGTGAATTCCCCACTCTTTGCAAAGTGACACTATGCTAGGATTTTAATGTAAATATTAAACGTGTTCTGAATGAACGCATAATTTCTCTTTCAATTACCAGCAGAGGGTAAGTGTGGGGGCAGGGAGGGGGAGAGAAAGCGTGCATCAGCCACAGCTGACAAGGCTGCTGCCAACATGCAAGAATGCACGGACAACCACGGACACAGCACACATCGACAGGAAGGCTAAGCATGAACTACAAACGGCCGCCGCCATGTTGCAAGAACACGTGTGTTCTTACAAAGCAAAATTCAATGTATCTCAGGCAATTTTTATTTAAAAGAGAAAAAAAAAAAACACTTTGAAAATATTTCCAGGCAAAAACTTAATGAAACTTAAGAATGGTCCTCTGTCAGTTCCGTAAACAGCGGGCAGGCCTTTTTTGTTACTTCCTCACTGTTCACTTTAGACGAGGTTCACTCACATCCATGGAAATTATAAAAAACGGACACAGGCTCACTCTAAGAGTTAAATCAGAAAGCTCAAGAGTCAAACCATTCACTCATCAAATATTTACTGGATGTTTACCATCTGCCAAGCATATGCCAGACACTGAGTGACATAAAGAAAACGCTTCCTGGAAAGGCAGCTGAAGTAGTAAGGAGGGAAGGCAGAGAGTAAAAGCACCAATGCTTAGGTACGGCTAGGGCGAATGCGGCGTTTGCTTTTACCACCCCACCGCCTTCCCCTGCTCCTTCGCAGCCCTTACCCACCGTAATAACAAATGCCAGAGTTCTCAGCTTC